ACTTCGATCAAGCTCGACATCCTGGAGGGCAACATCGGCTACCTGAGGATCGATCACATCCTCGGGGAGGAGGTTGCTGACAAGGTTGGCCCTTTGCTCCTAGACCTGGTCTGGAATAAAATCCTGCCAACCTCAGCTCTCATCTTTGACTTGCGCTACACCAGCAGCGGGGACATCTCAGGAATCCCCTACATTGTGTCTTACTTCACCGAAGCTGAGTCTCCAATTCACATTGACAGCGTGTATGACCGTCCCTCAAACACCACCACAAAGCTGATTTCTATGTCAGCACTGCTGGGGGAAAGATACAGCATTACCAAACCCCTCATTATCCTCACCAGCAAAAACACCAAGGGCATTGCTGAGGATGTTGCCTACTGCCTCAAGAACCTGAAGAGGGCCACCATTGTGGGCGAGAAGACTGCTGGGGGCTCTGTGAAACTCGACAAAATCAAAGTGGGCGACACTGACTTCTATGTTACCGTGCCAACTGCAAAGTCTGTCAACCCCATCACCGGCTCCACCTGGGAGATTGCAGGTGTGACCCCCGATGTGGAGGTCAACGCCGAGGACGCCCTCGCTACCGCCATCAAGATCGTCAACCTCCGTGTCCAAGTTCCAGCCATCATTGAGGGATCGGCGACCCTGATTGCAGACAACTACGCCTTTGAAGATATTGGTGCTGATGTTGCAGAAAAGTTGAAAGGGCTCCTGGCAACCGGCGAGTACAGCAAGGTGGTCTCCAAGGACAGTCTGGAGGTGAAGCTGTCCGCTGACCTGAAGACCCTGTCTGGGGACAAGAGCCTGAAGACCACCAGCAACACCCCAGCCTTGCCACCCATGGTGAGTCCCTTGTACATAAGATTATGGTCTTTGGATGTGTCTTTAGGTGTAATTTGTTGATGTTCAAACAGTTATTTAGTTGGTTATTTACTGACGGAAGTTTCTTTGAAAGAGTTTTTAATTTACACTTTACTGGTATAACAAAAAATGATCTTGTGTTCAAAACTTTTCTAAAAGTATTCATTACAAATGTTGTGGTCATGTGGGAAAGATGATTTTACACTGCATTGGATAAACATGTTAAGTCTTTGGAGGATATGATATATGATATATATTTGGAAACGTGTAATATGCAGCAATTCAAATATTTTCAATATGTGAAATATATATACCTGAAAAACAGATAAATGTACTTTTACTTAGACATATTGCCTATGCTTATACAACAAATGCTGAGTTGTTTATTTTTCACCCACCCCAGGATTATTCTCCAGAGATGTACATTGAGCTGATCAAAGTCTCCTTCCATATTGACATATTTGAGAACAACATCGGCTACCTGCGCTTTGACATGTTTGGAGACTTTGAGGAGGTCAAGGCCATCGCCCAGATCATTGTTGAGCATGTGTGGAACAAAGTTGTCAACACTGATGCTATGATCATTGACCTCAGGTGGGTAATCCTGCACAAGTAAAAGCTTCTATTCAAGATCCAGTGTGTCCATTTTGGAAAACAAATCATCTGCTAAAGCCGCTATTGCTCATCAGTCCTCTGAATATAAAGGACTTAGTTTGCATAAGTGTAGTATTTTTTTGTATGCATCATGTTCATCATCACAAAGGACCATTAGATTTCATCATGAATCTAACCTTTCTATGATGGTCCGGCTACTGTTTGGTGCAGGAACAACATTGGTGGCCCAACAACAGCCATTGCAGGCTTCTGCTCTTACTTCTTTGATGCCGACAAGCAGATTGTGCTGGACAAGCTGTACGACAGACCATCCGGGACCACCACAGAGCTCCAGACCCTGCCTGAACTCACGGGTAATTTAAAAAAAAGAAATCAAGTCATAGATTCCATAGATTTTTTTACTAACCAGCACTCGTCTACCTCACACCTTTAACCTTGTTCTGCCTCCATCTCTTTCTCTATTTAAGGCACAAGGTACGGCTCCAAGAAGAGCCTGATCATGCTGACCAGCAGAGCAACTGCCGGAGCCGCGGAGGAGTTTGTTTACATCATGAAGAAGCTTGGCCGTGCGATGATCGTCGGAGAGACCACCGCCGGGTCTTCCCACCCACCCAAAAACTTCAGAGTTGGTGAGACTGACATCTTCCTCAGCATCCCCACTGTCCACTCTGACACAGTCGCCGGGCCAGCCTGGGAGGGAGCTGGTGTCGCACCTCACATACCTGTCCCAGCTGACGCCGCCCTCGAGACTGCCAAAGGCATCTTCAACAAGCACTTTGCAGGCCAGAAGTAAACCTCTTTTGCTTTGGCAGCCAAATAGTTTCAAGATTTAGAATTAAGACTTGTTTGAGAAGCGAAGAATGTAGATTAAGTATAAAGTGTAATCTGCTATTCATTTTGTCAAAACCTAAGCCTTTTCCGCCTGTTTGTAATGTAGAGCAAAGGTTGAACAGTAGGATTTACCTCTAGTTTGTATTTCTGTTGAATGTTTTGAGAATGAGTGATGCTGTGCAACCGATTATTTTGTGAAGTGGGTATGACTAATTCTGTGTCAAAGATCAGTTTTATCATCAAAACAACTTTGATTTACATGTTTGAAAAGTCACATGTAAGAGATAGGAAACAAATTGAGTAAAAACACAAAAATTACTTTCAAGCTCTGTTTGCTATTCTTGTATTATGTTGGATTTTTGGAATTGGGATCTCTGTGAAGTGATCCACTTGTTGCTCTGGTCAGAAAGCTTCATGCAATGTCCTCTGCAATGTCCTCATTGTGTATGGGAAATGCTTGGGTTGTATCATTTCCTGTGGTGAGACACAATAAAAAAGACCGAAAACTCAAATACAAAAGTGTGTGCTGGTCATGTTTTACATTAACAGAGTTTGTACCATTATAGAAGTCCTTTTTTGATTTATCGTGTATCTATTCTACAGTGAAGCGCAAGAAGTTTCCTTTTTATTATTGTGTCATAAGATACAACTGTCAGTTATGACACCTTTAACTAACAACTTGGAAGAGAAAACGAAATATGTATCTGTTAAATTGTGGCTTTAACTCACCAACAAAGGAATAACATGATGGACTTCTACGTCCGTACACATAAGACAAGTTTTGGTACCCGAAGGAATCATCCAACAGACAAGAAACAGAAGATCGGTCGTGGATTCATTTTGATCTCATGTTTTAAGGACCATGTGGTCTTTGTATAAAATACAAGAAAAAAGAGATAAGAACCCATTGTTGTGCCTACTGGATGCCATAAAGAGAGCAAACTTTTGAATCAAACAAAGGACGTATTTTATTCTGAACCTATAAATTGTCATGTCTTTCAATATCAACTTTTTTAAATAATGTAAAAGTACATTATTTCAGCTGTTATGTGTCTCTCAAATTATCAGGAACAAGTAGCTGAAGCTTCCAATTTGTATTCTTAACAGCCATAGACTTTAGTTTAATTGTGCACAAACCACAAACTATTATTTCTGTGGTGCAATTCAGACCATGAACCCAGATAATTAGGTGGGCAAGATTCCCTGATTTGAGGCCCAAATCTTCCCACAAAATAATTACTCCTGACTCTGATGAGTACTGGACCCTCAAGAAAATATATAGTCTATATGTAACACGTTGGTCTAAATCCTATGTCATTAGATTTTGGTTGTGTTTGGGTCTCTCTGTTTAACAGAAGGCAGAAGTAATGATTGTAACTAGTGGAATTTTGCAATCCAAGGATGAACTTGAGAAACCATAAGGACATGCCAAGACTGTTCTTTTTTTGTAGGGGAGTGTACACTGGACTTGAGTGTTTATGAGTGTGTTGTAAATGGTATGTATGTAAGCGGCTATGAAGATATACTGTATGAGTGGATGTGAGACAGAGGAGCAGTGCACTGGTAAGCACTGGAATTTATTTTGTAAACCATAAGGATCTGAAGGGGGGTCAACATGTGTTGAGACACAGGGGCCAAAGGGTGACACAGTGTGGGAGGGGTTGGGGGGGTCTGACGCTTAAGAACGGGATTTACCGTGCTACTAATTCAGGCTGCTACTGATTGTTTTGTAATCTGTTTGTCGGCCTGGTTTGTGTAAAAGTGATGGGAAAAGCAAATTCTACAAATATTTCCCATGGGAACGTCAAGACCGAGCATGAATGTCGTGACGCCAATGACGTCAGACGCTACGTCCCTCTGTCCACTCAGAAGTTATCATTTAGATATCGATATTTACCCAGAGACATAGGTCACGTACAATTTAAACAGTATTACTCGTTCAGAAAACTGGTTTGATTACTGTACCCATGATTGTTATGAGTTAGTATTACTGTTCGGGTTTACGGTTAATAACATATCACAAATATACACCCAGCAGACCTGGTGGCACATAGTATTCATAAGAATGCTGTACAAAACAGATACAAAGTGTGAGAGGCCCTGGGGGTTTAAAGGGGCCCAGAAGCAAATTTTTACCCTGGGCCCCCTTGGCAGGTTATTCCGGCAGTGCTCACAGAGGTAATGAATCACCTCCATCTGTTTGATGAATGACAAAAAGAGAAACAATTCTGTAAGTGTATATTTCTTGTACCATGTAACTGTATTCTCCACACTCGTTTTGCAGCCTCTGGTTTATCATGATGATTACAGATGTTGCTGTTCATGGTATTTATTATGATGATTACAGATGTTGCTGTTCATGGTATTTATTATGATGATTACAGATGTTGCTGTTCATGGTAATTAACGAGCAGCAGCACAGAGAAAGTCAACACACATGGAGTGATTAATGAAGACAAAGTGCTGGGAAAACGATACATAAATAGACACATTGGTTTTACGACTAATTTAATGACAACAAGCTTCATCATTCAGCGACATTTCTCATAATCATGATTCCATCCTGTCCTGCGCCGAATCCTCCGCAAAATGCGCGAGTCTGCCACGTGAGGGAGGCGCAAAATGACCCATTTTCCGTCTTTCTCTCTCTTCCTCAGTTTGAAACATGAAACCTGGTCCATTTCAGCCAAGTCTGTCCCCCGTCTTCCAGTTCCTCCGCGCCAACACTGCTCTGCGTTACCCAGCTTCGTTTGGCTTTTTTTTGCAGACCAGTTTTGACACTTTGACTGGAAACTTTTATCCATATATATGTATATATATATATATATACATATATCTCTTTTTTTACCAACCACCCATTAATTTGAGCCATCCTCCCATTAACGCCGGTTTTGATTTGTTTCTGCAAATGCTGCTTTTAAAACTTTTTTCCCTGCTAACTGCACGTGGATTCTGAAATATCCGGAACTTCTATTTTTTTACTTATTCCATCTGGGAGAAAGCATCTCTCTCTCCGGCGTGTTGCTATGATTGTAAACTAAGAGACGTGGACGCATCGCCTGCATCCTTTCTTTTGTCTTTGTTGCACCTCTGCCTTTAATTACATAACTGTCTCTGGGATGTAAGAAGACACTCAAACAATTGTATTTTTTTTCTTTTTTTTCCACAAAGGAATAAACCTTGTTTTTTTACCCGAGGGGAAAAGCATGGCGACACTTAAATTGAACATGCGTTTTGTTTTGGTTTTATTTGGATTATTTTTGCTCCCTTCTCCATCTGCAAGAGCCGAGCCGGAGCAGCAGGACGAAGAGGAGGAGGAGAGTTCATGTCAGGGCGCTTTTGACCTATATTTTGTGCTCGATAAGTAAGTGGAAACAGCTTAAAATGATATGTTCATTAAATCATATTAGGAATATCATTTGGAAACTAGCCTACAGAAATTCTCGGGTGCAATAATCCAGCAAAACACACAAAAATAAGCCAACACCTGCATTTTCTTTTCGTGTTACTGCTACTTTTATTGCTGTAGGCCCTACGTTTATTTCATTCAGTTATTGAAGACGATCTTTTTCAAACATGAGGTGAATGATACCAAAGTTTCTGCTCTTAACATGATTGTTTTAAAAAAAAGTAGAAAAGACTATGGACTGTATAGTTTAGCTGATTAGCACCGCTGCATCCGCAGAGACATTGTGCGTGCGTGCGCGCGCGCGTGATGACGCTGGAAAGGAGGCTGATTTACAGAGTACAGTTTGCTGAATAAGCAAAAAGAAGACCGGCGGTTTGGATGCAACAGTGATATCTCTATTACTCTGCGGATTTAAAACCCATTGTTTCTTCTTTCTCCACATCATTTTGTCACTCTCCTTAAAACGTATAACTGTCCGAGGCAAAGAGGCTGTTATTCTTTTTAATTTCCCCCCCACTCATGCTGAAGGGATTTTTTCTGCTCTTTGCTCAGTGACTCCTCACTGTTCACTCTCTGTACGCCCACATAGGAAAAATGCTGTGGTTGTGTGACATCTTAGCGCTGGACTCTAGCTGGAGAAAAAATAAAATGTCAGAGAAAAGCAGGAGAAACTTCTAGATTGCCTGTTTCTCTTTCAATGCCTTTACTGCACATCCAAGCGCAGTAACTTGTGTTTTCCTCCATTAGGGAATACAGAAATCACCTTCTTTGCCATAATGTGACTCAATATAAAGATCTATACCTCATTATAGTACTCAAGTATGACTATAAATACTGTAACCCAACTAATCATCCTCATTGTAAGCCACTGAGCCTAATTTGATGGAGAATCTGCAAACAGCAGAGGAGGAACCTCTGTTGTGAGCAATTAGAAACTTTATTACAACTCTGCTGTTGAATCTTTTCTGCACCTAACCTGGGTATTGCTGCATCAGCGCTTATCCTTCTCCTTGCATTAATGGAGCATTGCCGGGAATGGGGAGGGGAAACAAGCAAGGACAGGAAGCAACAACGTTTATGGAAAATGTGGTGTTAATTTGGAGGACAATATGTTGCAGGCAGCACCTTTAATAGCTCGTTTTGTGGGGGGCTTCACCTATGAGGAGGCTGTGAGAGATAAAAACAAAAAGAGAGAAATCTCTCACAGATTAGCATCACTGATGACTATATAACGTCTAATATGCCATTCGGTGTATGGCTTCATCTAATTGGCTGACATTTTTCACCCTGATGGGCCCTAGTTATCAGCATAGTAACAATTTGAAGTGCCTTGCTGTACCAACTGAGCACATAATCCTTGACATGTCTCCTGACTTGTAAATGTTTTGATTCCTGAGTAGAAGTGGACACAAAACACAGAACTGCTCCCCAGATGTGCGGGTCAGCATTTGGCTCGCGCTGTGCGGTAAATACTGACACATGCTGCGAATAAGGAAACGGACTCTCTTTTTTTTTTCTCCTCCTTTTGTTTCAATGTCAGATGCTATTGTTAGCTGGTCTGCGTGCTTTGGTGCCCACTCTAAGGGGTGACTAACAAGGTTAAGAGAGGAAGCTCATTAGAGACCTGCCTCAGCCTCAACCCCATCCCTCAGGCCTGAGTTGGTTTTATGAGACGTAGCCTGAACTCTCTGCCCTGGTCGATCCATGTGGAGGGCGTTAAGTGTGTGAGAATGGGGGTTTTCAGTATATGGACTAGCAGAAGATACAGGGTAGTAAAATGCTGACAGTCCTCCCTTTTGTCGAAGTACAGTAAGACACATGGGACTACTTTAGGGATAGTGTGAATCATTGGTCACCTGGCCTTCAACCCTGCGTGGATGTGTTCCTCTTTTGGAAATAACCAAAGAACAGGAAGTTCATTTACAGTGAGTTACACAACAGATTGAGCGCTCTGGTTGAGCAGAGGGGAAAACGTGGCTGAGGGCTTTTATATAATGAGTCACAGATGATGTCAGTTATTAGCCACTTGTCTCTGGTTGAACCTGTTTTAATCAGCAATAGCTACAGTAGCTATTGTCCGGCCAATACTGGACGATTGTGTGGCATACGAATTAAATCATAAGCGTTTGGTGCCCATGCAGGCAGTGTTCCTTTCATTAAGGTGAGAAGTGAAGCCTTAGCCATAACTTAACCAGCCGTTTGCTGATAATGTAGGAATATCTAACACACCAGTGGCTCTGTGAGGCTGTATACTTTGAGCTAAATTCTAACGTCAGCATGCTATCGCAAGGAATCTCTGTCTGTCTGTGTTCATGTGAGAATGTCCTTTTGCATATCCCAAGAACCGTTCTTCCAATCTGCTTCCCGCTTAGGCAGGTGTATTGTTGGGAACCCAAGGGAGAGCCATGTCGAAATTGGTGCAATTTGGACCAGTAACAAGTTTAATATTTAATAAACTTTGAATACACAAGCAAACTCTCTGCAAACTCTCAGCAGTTCACTTATGAAACAAATATTGAAATTTTATTTATTTTGGGGGTGCACATTTTGCTGTTTGAAGTCCCTATTTAGTATTTGTAAAAAGTGGTGGCCACTGATGGCAACCAAAGGCCAAGCATTGGTTGCCAAATTTCTCAAAATGGTTGCCAACGGCAATCTGGCAACCCTAACCGTCGAGCCCCGTTATGTGGGGCGTTGCAGAATTGTCCGATATCAACATCATGTCTGAAGATAGCGTTGGTCGTGTTTACCTGGAAAGAAGGCGCACAGACACATGGTAATGCTGATGGAATTGGTTTATTTGACGAGTAAAGAGAAACACACTTTGGGCATTGCGTTGTAGGGTCACGAGTTTCACAGCAATGAGGAAAGATAACTGCTGCGTTGGCTCATAAAGTTGACTCCAAAGGCATTCGTTGCAGACTTGGGCAGATGAAGTCATGTCACGGCTAGAACATGTAGGACAGTGCTCTCTGAGACTGGCTGCAGTCTGGGACATCCGGCACTGGGTTTGGAAAATTTGGGTTTTAGAGAGACACACTATCCTCTACTGCTAAGTGCCCTTCAGAGCTATTTATGACATACTTAAGGAAAGGACAGGTGTTACAATACCCACTGGACTCAAAGGGGGGGGGAGGGGCAGCAACACAACAACCAGTGTCAGGACTGAATGGTTGCAACCAAATAAATGCAGAAGTTAGTTCTCCTTTCAAGTCCAAGCAGCCCACACGTGTTAAACTGTGACTTTAATGACTAATAGGATACAGATGGTGGAGGAAATGGCAGAATGCCAACACATATCATTTTCAAGTAGGAGGGAATAACTGGAAGATGACACTATATACAAACCCAAAGGTCTCCAAATAAAACAATGGTGTTGATTGTAAAAACGTGAACAATTCCAAACCTTTGGCGATTCAAATATATATATTTTTAGTGTTGCTTTGATACAGTACATTGTGGGAACGTTTGGGCCGTAGCCACACCCTGCCAACTGCTAACGACATACATCCCTGTGTTGTGGTGTATGGTATATGAGACATACAGTACCAAGGAACTGATGTCACCGCTACTGTAACCTAAATGAAGTCACACACAAGCTAGACTAAAAGTCTACAGCTGCACTCGGGTGTAATGTTTACCATGTCAACCATCTTAGTGTGTTAGCACACTAACGTTGGCTAATCAGGCCCAAACACAAAGCACAACTGAGGTTGATGGGAACGACATACGCTTTGTATGTGATCATTAGGACCAACGTATTAGACAGATTCCAATCTTGACCTGATGATGGCGCTAGAGGAAAAGTCAGAGGATCACCCAAAGTTATCAGGCTTAATTGTCTGCGTAGCAGGAACATCGATACAAAATGTAACAAAATGTAAATTACTTCATTTAATGAAGTCCCTAGAGCCACGCGGCTAGCTTGGCTAAAAATCTGCATGCAACCAGAATGAAGAAACAGGCTGATGGTAGCTCCCCACCCACAACTCCAGAGAATAACTGAGGAATTTTGTGATTTGGCCAATTTTGCTGTCCAATTATGAAACCTTAAGCTCTAAAACAGTCACTGTGGTCATTCGATGTATACCTTTAAGCCCTATACTGCTGCACGTGTATTTGCTGATCCGGAGCCGACGGCCCTGCAGTTTACTGTTTTATATGTTTTCATATGGAAGATGAAATGATTCACCTTTGAGCCCTAGTGCTAATGTTCACTTCTTGATGACTGCATTTACACTATTATGTTTATGTCGATTGTGCACAAATTAGAAGCAATTATTGCGCAATATTGCTATCAGTGTTTAATTTGTGGATTACAATATCAGCTAAAGAAGGTGGAAGTAAAACAGACACATGAAGTCTTTCCCTTTGTGTCAATGTCTGTCTGCTTTTGATGTATCTCTCTTTCATTTCCAGCAGACTCCTATTACCGCTCGAATCCATACTCCTCATTGCTCCTCATGAGATACACTCTTTTCACACCCCTGTCTCTTTGTCTTGTAGGTCCAGGTCCGAAATACAGTCATTTTCGTCTCATCTTTGTTTTTTCAAAACTACTAATCACGGCTGCAAAATGTTGTTGTTGTTAATGTAGTCACGAGTTGGCGCACCGGTTTGGGCGTTGGGTCATGCTGCCTGAATCCTGGCAAGTCAGCGGAAAAACCAAGACTTGCAGCTGCAGTCCATAAATATTTTGGATATGTCTCGCAATGGAATACGTTCTAGCTCTGGAATGACACTCGCTCTGTGTTTTGTCATTTGGTCTTTTGCAGCGTGCTGCTTTTGGTGTTTTCAGCAGGAAGAAATGTATTTTTAAATCTTACCATGCCGTCTGACGTCCCCAGGGACAAAAACAAGACCAGAGGTTTTAAAGGGAATGAATGCCGCTCTAACTCCTTTCTAAACCCACTGGTAATATATTATATATGACTCTGACCGTGCAGAAAAACAAG